AAGCACAGTTGCTGGATTAGAACACAGTCTGGCTGAAGCCCCACTTCAAAATGAATATTCATATTCAAGTATTCATAGTTCCTGCTAGACGCAGCGTTTCCCTAGGCCGGACAGAACTAGTCCCCCAACATCAGAAGAATCTTTCAGTCCACTCTGAGATTACACTTAATCTCATCTGCACCTGAACCAGGATTCCAATGGACAACCCAATTTTCTATATGTCCTGGTGCAATACAAAAGCATGGAGATATCCAATCCATCGCAGCAAGCTCCTTCTAGCAATTCCTATGCATAATGTGCAGGATGTGGGTTCTCCAGAGAGACATTGTTCCTTGTCACCCTGTTTGTTTAATCTTTGAATAATCATAGGATCATTATAGTTGGAAAAGACCTTCAAGATCGAGTCCAACAGTAAATCCTTCAGCACTGTGCCAGCTCAACCATSTTCCCAAGTGCCTCATCTACACATTTCTTAAATAGATGTTTCTAACAAATGAAGACTCTTGGGCTGCAGAAAACTTTTGTAGATATATCCTTTGTTTTAAAGCATGGAAAGCTAGACACCCCAGGACTAGGTACGTGATGTGTTGGGGACAACTGACACAAGCCATCTACAGCACAGCAGTTATGGGCAATCTAAAACCTGTGGAGAGACCTCCGGAACCACAGCCACAAAAGCACATTTTCTTCAGCAGAACCACCAAGCCTGCCAGGCCATGCAGTGTGTCATAGATTGACAGAGCCCTCCAAGCACAGGCTGCCCCATGCAGGGCCTGGATAACCACAGGAATACCTTCCGTACCGATGCTGGATTTCAGGCCCTCCTYGCCCAAAGCACAGTTCTGCAGGCTGGAGTGCTGTTTACTCCAATAGGACAACTCACATTCTTCAGTGATTTGCTGATCTGATCCACRTGTTGTTTCCTGAAAGATTCACATGCTTGGCAAGGGACGTTCAGAAGCAATTTCTTTTTTATTGCTTTTTTTTGCTTATTACTTTTTACTCTACTAATAAATACATTCCACAGGCTTAACATCACTTRGAAAAAATGAAGGCAGGATATGAAAACAGAAAAAAAGAACAGATACAGACAGAAGTATTGCTCATTGCCCTTTTTTCTTGGCCACTTTTCCAAATGCCAGGCTCTTTCCAAATTATTTGTATCATAATTCAAGCAAAAATAAAGTTTCTTTTGTGCTGCTCTCAAGCAGCTAAAATATCTCATTCACCCAAGGTCAAAAGTGAAGGAAAATAATATTTACAAAAAAAATGGAAYCTCTTAGGAGACATAAATGCTCCAATTCTTTGATAAGGAGGGACAGCAGGCTGGCATCGGCTCTTTGCTTCAGCAGCACAGAGGTGCTCTGATGAACATACTTTATGTAGCCAAAGAAAAAGGGATGCCTGTGGATATCAAGGCTTTATCTGTTTTGAAATCTTAACAGCCAGCAACTTCAAGGTCAGGTCTATTCAAATGAAACATTCTGATTCTTGCCCAGTTCTGAGCTTGTGCAATGAATACGAGGTATTCTGCTTTTTTTCCCCGCCGCCCTCTCCTCTCCACAAAAAGTCCTTAGCCAAACTGTCAAAAAGACATCCATTCTGTTACTGCAAGATTCCAAATGAGTGTTTAAAAGAAAWTCTCTTGCTTCAGGTCACAAGCTAGTAAATATGAAAAAAGGGCTCTTGGGAATTTCATTCCATGCCTGTAGAATTCCAGTGTTCTTATACCTTCTTTTAAAAAAGTTGAGCTAGAGATGCCCAAAACATGATGTAGCAGAATCAKTGGATTTAAGGAGCTGTTAAACCCTTCTTTTCTTTATCAAATGGCTCCGTGCAAACTCTATGGAAAGGTTCACAGAGGGCTGCATCTAACACTGTTTGACTGCTGCTCTTCTGATCTGTTAGCTGTGGAGCTGCCACAGGCTCAGACTCAGATAGGGTTAGGTAGGCATTGCTCATCTCAAAAAGGAAACCAGGGAACAATATTCTGGTATCCCTAACTTCAAGTCAGCAGCCAGGACTTGGCCATTTAGAAAAAGAAATGAGGTATTCAGACCTTGATTCAATAATATATTTAAATACACACATTTAAACCTAGCACTTCATTAAGGCTGTTCATAAGCTTAAATGGAGGTGAAGGCTTAATTGCATTGCTGAATCAGGGGCCTCACTGTGGAGAACTCAAGTATTAAATGTCAGCATGAAGACAGATTCCTATGGCCAGTTACAAATCTCTAGGATTTATAATCACTTTATATTCTGGAAACGTTGACAGCTTTAAATATAGTGCTGTGGCTGTGATAAATTGTTTACATTTTTTTCTTCTTACCCTTTTGTAACTAAATTTAAGGTAACCATTCCAGCATGATCCAGTTTTGGAAGCGTAATCAGAATGTCTCCCCATGTAAGAAGACACATCTATTTCTGTCCATGAAGCCTAAGACTGCATTTCTTAGCTCATGATTTATATCAGACTTTAAATTAATAATAAGGCATCTATTCACATGCAAATATTAGTATTGCAAGACCCATTCAACGTGGACTCTGCAACCATCTAGGCTCCCTGAACAGCTGGGATTCAGTTACAGTGACAACACAGATCCTATTTCAAACATCACTTGGCTTTGCACAATCATCAGCAATTCCTTCTCAATAAGGAAGGTCTGAAACTAATACCATGCCAGCTTAAACTATTGAACCTGAGAAGATTCATTCTGGAGACAATTGGGGCTGTATTTCAGTTGGATTTTGGGTGGACTGCACCTTCACCTGCATGACTGATGGACGTATTTCCACAAATATTTTCACTGACAAAATGCAGGTGTTCTACCTTTGCAGCCTCAAGCAAGCAGCTGCACATGCATAAATACAACCACACAAACAAACCCAAGGAAACCACAAAGCTGAGACAGCACAGGGTTACCTAGAGGTGGGCATTGACCAGGGGGCACAGTAGATATAGCATCATGTCCTACCTCTTCATGTTTTTTTTTTGAGCAGAGAGTCTCTTCTTCTTTAATAAGCAGGGATCACATTGATTTATCCACAATGTGCTTTGAAACCTGCTGATAATACGAACAGTACAAAAAGCAGGCACAGGTCTGATGATACAAATTCAAGAAACCTTCCGCAATTGCGGTTGTTCAGAGCAGCTTGTCCTGTAAAGTTAAAGATCTCTTCCTTTAACTATCTAGGCTTCTTACAAGTTCAGATTGCCCAATGGAAACACACCTTCAGTTTTCTGTCTRTCAGGTCAAATAAGCAAAGCACCCTGGCAGATACCCAAATAAAGTTAGAGAGCTTCCTCTGACAGCAAAATCTGACACTGCCACTAACAGTGAAGGATGAAACCAATCAAGCACCAAGTTTCTATCAATCTAAACAAAAAGTCATTTTCCAGATGCGATTACCTAAGAAGGTAACTTTGAAGTCCCACAACCACTTTTGTAATTGAGAAATAACTTTATGGCACATGTGCTACTGAGCTCCTCAGTAGATCCAGAGAGGGGACAATAGTTTTGCAAAAACGCAGGCCTTGGCCGAAACATGCYTTGTCACATCACATTGCATCTGAAGAGATGGCAAAGCTACTAAAGGCAGGGACAGGGATCAGAAGATTAAAARGCACAACTTTCACTGAATGCAATGTATAGCTTACCTGATTTATCAAGCTGCACAAAAGAAACAGTCCCACATCCTCTTTCCACTGCCCAAAACTTTGCATATCTGCCCATATTAGTTTCATCAATGTTGGTCATGGAGAGCATGGACAGACCTTGCCAATGGAGATGTTGGCTTACAAAGTCCCACTATGCACACGACGATCCGCACGGCACTGAGTTCAGTGCAGCAAGGGGGCTGGTGATGCCTGGATAGCTATCTGCAAGAAACTGGGAGGGAGATGGAAGCTCCATGCTCCCAGGTAAAGGAGTAACCTACAGGATTTTTTCCATATTTCTGAAAAATCTTCCTTTAATAACTTCATAAATATGCTGTTATTTCRCACTTGTTCTAGGTCATAGCACAAGCTCTTTATCCCACAAAGACCACATCTCCTCAGATAAAGCAAGGCCTACAGGGATGCTGGAGAGCAGGCCCAGCTCTATTTATCTCATGTCCACCCTTCCCCTCAAAAAGCTGAAGCTAAGAGTCTTGCATCTGGTTTGCTCCCAATATTTCAGCCCTGCTATGGCCCATTGCTAAAACAACTCAATACATTCACTATAAACTTCATGATGATTATTTTGTAGTAAGAAATCCAGTTCTCCTAAGATTTGAGGAACAATCTTTAAAACTTGACAGTCTGGAAACCAATGAAAGGCCTCTGGTTGGCTCAAAAAAAAAAAAAAAAAAAGAGCTTCTAAGTGCTCAGCCAAAATTTGAATTACTACAGTTCATGATCCCACCATGATCATTAGAATCTTTCAGTACAGATCTCCCACAAACCACCCAGGAGACCCTTSTTCACCACCATGGTCCCGTGGAGCATCAGGGATCAGTTCCAGCCAGAAATGAGCTCCAACCACCATAAAGGAGATAAAGGTCTAAGTGTGGCTGTGTGCTTCACTTCATAGATGCTCGAGTGRTGAGAGTTGCAGTTCAGCCACTCCATGGCTCTGCCGAGCCCTCCAGCAGGTCTTTCCTTGTGGGCAAAGCAGTCAGAGGAGTGCTCGGGCCAGCAACTTTTAACTATCATTGCAACAAAACTCCGATCATTCCTCCTTAATCCAGGCTGCTTCTTCGCCCAGGCTCCCAAGGAATACTAGAGGGGCAAGGAGCGCTTTGCAGGCACAGGGGAAGACATTGGATCCTGGTGAGCTGACAGGAGGAATGTGACCCAGCCAGCAGCGTCAGAGGCAATTGCAGACCCACAGCCTGGAACGCGCTGGTTTCATCCTTGCCGATAAGCAGCCCCATCTCTTTGCATCCCGGTGCAGGTGTGCGTAACCTGATACAGCAGCACACTGCAAATCACTGCTTTTCTTTAGTAACACTCTGGTGTTCCTATGGCCCCTATGGCACAGCATGCCAAATCCTCCCCGTTTCAATTACAGAGGCTCCAGCCTTATTAGCTCCAGATGAGTTGGAAGAAGAGTGCTCCCTTGTTGCCAGCGATGAGAGATGCACACTGAAAACTGAAGGCTGCCAGGAGGCAGGCACAAGAACAGGCTCTCGCCTAGGAGGTACCTTTTTCTCCTCCCAACGCCATGCATCTCAAACCAGCACTTCACATGGGACACATTTGTGTGTGCAGCCTGTATACAGCCAAAACCACAAGYGTGAAGAGCTGACTTTTCATCAGGTTCACAAACCTACCTGTGAATACCAGAGGGGTACTGTTACCTCAAGTTTCTGCTCTGGACYGGAGGTGCATTGTGTTAACACCTCTACAGTTACATCCAAAGGAACTGCCTGCTCTACCAACCATGCATAAGGAGCAGGGAATTAGGCAAACAACAAAAAACTCTGTTTTGTGAGTGTGAAACAAAGATCTCCCTCAATTGTGTTTTATTTCCTAGGTGGAAGTCACAAGAAAAGTCACTCAGATTCTCAATGCACCTTTCTGMTGGAACCACTAGTGCAAATACAATTCATGCTCCGTTACGTTAACAACACTCCTGTGAAAGCCAGTATTCCTTCCCACCTGGGTGTAGCAGTGCAGGATTACTCCCAGAAAAATGGAAGAGGTGATGTGAACTATTAGCACAATAAGAGTGTTAAATTTGTTTTCAGATTATCTACTCCTCTGGTTTAGCATTATCATAACAGTATATTTACTGTGAAGCTACTGGTAAATTCGAGAGGCAGCAGGAAGTCACAGTGTTTCACTGAGCAGCTCAGGTTTCTCAAAAAATCTCATGAGTCTGGAAAAAGCAGTCAGATAGGTCTGACCTCTTAAATAGTTCACTGGGACCTTGACTGCCCATGGCCAGGCATCTCTTTGCACCGAAGATCCCATGCCAGCATCCCCATCCTGCTCTCAACAGTCTTTAATCCACTCATCTCATTTCCAGTGTCTCCACTTTCTTGCCAAAGGTAAGCCCAGACTCACCAAGAGTCACTCGAAGCACCAGACAAGAGGATCCAACTCATGACACATAGGTCTCCATTTTACGGCCATCAATCCTGTTCCTCCACCACTGGAGGACAGCCTTAACACTAATGAAGTTAAGGAGGCTTTAAATTAGAYCTGGAAGCTGGTCTTCATTGACTTGGCATGAGGGAAGGCCTCATTCCTGTATTTCTGCCTTTTCTTTTTTGATTGGTCCCAGAGAACTGCCATTCCCTTTAAATCATTTTCACACATCCATCTAGGAGGAGGTTTTCTGGAAAAACTGACATAATTCAGAGAGTTACTACCTCATTTGCAGAGSCTCACAGCCCAACATGAATCTTAGAGGCACATAGTCTCACCTGCACATCTCCAGAGGACTCTGCAGGCTGTGACAGACTCATTAAGCAGTGAGAAAGCACCTCATCTCTCCCCAAGCCCAACATCAGCATTGGAAAGAYGACTTCAGCAGACAGCAACAGCAAGACTGCAGCAAAGGCATGCACTGTCACATCAGGCAAGAGTAAGAATGGTTTGGGTTTAAGGAAATCAATCCTCCACTGCAAGGCTGAAAAAAGGAAGGCTGGAAAAGGGAACAGCAACACTATGAGTCTTGGATTCAGCTTGGCTCTCGCATGTCCTCTGCGGCACTCTGAGTAGAGGAGTCCTGAAGCCACACAAGGGCACATCATTGGTGGTGACCTGGGGCTGGTAATTAAAGCCTTCCCACCAGGCTTATGGAAATTTGTAAGAGATATCTGCTTTTATTTGAGCTCTCTCAGCTCTCATTAGTGACAGGATGAGAAACAGGCACGTTGAAGGTACCGTTTGCCTGACGTACACTGATGGCTCTTTAGGARGGGACAGACCATGTCAGCGCAACCTCGCTGGTGGCTCTGCCCCATCCTCCCCATTCACACAAGGCTTCATATTAATGGGAGCCCATGCTTAGCCTTAAGCAGTTCATGTTATTACTGAAGGGAGCTTCAAGTTATCAGCTGCAGCTTGCACTAATGTGTTAGGTGTAATTTGTTCCTTATGGAGAACATATTTTCTAGATCTGCTTCGCATAGGCAAAGCCTGATACCTTTTCCCTCCAGCCTTGGAAAGGTAAAGGGAAAACCAGTTTCTAAAACATGTTGCACCCCTTGCTTCCTTGCACACAGGTACAGGCAAGAGGTGATCTGCTTAGATCTCTCCCCTTTCATCTGCCAGCTGTGGCAAGCTCTTGAAAACGGTACTCAGCTCTTATCTCTTCAGCATCATTCAGCACCCACCTGAGCAGCASAGGGAATACTGTGTCATGATCTGCCTTTCCTTACCATTTAATATCATCATCAATGCAGCAGGACTCAGGAGGCACACAGGACCATTTCACAGCAAGAGATAGCACTGAGGAGAAAGCAGGTGGAGRCTGGGTGCTTTTTCCTCTCTATTTTTCACACTACCATCTTCCCCATTGCACTTAAGAGACTAGCTTTCCTTCACTCCTCTCCCACACTCATTTCTCTGTCTGATGACAAACCAAGACTCAGTATGGTTCATAGCAAGGTCGTAACTGGCTGACAGACCTGAAATGATAGCAAACATTTGCTGTAAGACAGGCAAAGCTGGTGGGTTCAGACTACAGCAGCAGTCTTTTTCCCGCTCCCCCACAGAGGGGACAAAACACAGCTTTTTCCTAGATACTCCTAGTTGAGGATAAAATTGGTGACATTTTTCCCTCTCCCTGCTTGCTTGTTCAGAGAGAATGGGGAGTTAGGAAGTGATAACTAGAGACAGGTTTACTCAATTGCATTCTTATTTCTTATGGAAAGACTCTTACCAAAAAGGCAYGTTAAACAGCAAAGTCAGTAGGTTTCCTTTAAGGATGAATTAAGAGTGCCTCACCTCTATTTGAAGGCCAAACACAACAATACTGAAAGAATGAGCTATAACTTCTGCAAAGCAAGCATTAAAATGTAGAGACAGAGGTACCCCACAGAGCTCCCCAACACATGGATGCAGGCAGCAGGGTCTGAACTGCACTGATGACATCCAATTTTGTTTTTCAAACAGCTCATCTAATCTGTCCCTCACCGCTGGACTCTCTGCAGTTATTGGCCCTCAGTTTCCCCAAGTCAGTTCACGCAGCCTCCACTTCACTCTCACAGATCTCGGCATACAAGTGATGAGGAGAGTTGTGGCCCTGGGCTGTCACTGYAGCAGCTGCTGATACTACCCAGCAAGCCAAGCCTGAGCACTATTTGCAGAGCTCGGTTTGCCTGATGCATCTTCCCTGATCCTTATGAGCTGGCCCTGTCRAGCAACACACCCCACAAAACACACACACACATATTCTTAGAGAGCTTCTAGCTGATACTCAAGCTCAGGATAAGGCTTAGTTTTCACCTGTCAAAGCTAGGGAAGCAGGAGTCACTGACCTCTTTATCTAGGACATGGCCTGGGATCCTAGTGGAGCTCAAATTGCCATGTCAACCCTTTGTAAGAACATCATGGCATGCTTGCACTGCTATCAAGTGGGCTTTTAGCAACTGAGATAGAGCAGTGGCCCACAAACATGGCTTGAAATCCCTCCAGAACCAAAGTCAGAGGGACCAGCAAAGGCAAGCTGGGATCCAGACAGGCCAATATATATTTAATCAGCTAATATCAACAAAAAGAGCCATAACTCCTTCAAAGGACAACCCTCCCCAAATATTTTGTCTTGAAGATTCACATTGCTAACTAATTTCAGCATCAAGAAAGATGAAGGCAAAGTCTAATTTTGGGATAACATCAGCCCTTCAGGATCAGTCTTTTAAAATTCCTACRATAACAGCAGCAATCCAACATAACTCACACTGATAGAAGCCCAGCTTTCTCAATGGCTGGACGCTGGGCAAAAAATAGCAAATGCATAAAGCAAGCAATCAAGGCAGAGTTTATTTTAATAAACTCTCACAAGTTAAATAATCTCAGTTCTGATTAGCACTGGAGATAAAAATGTAAATATTTACCAGAGCATCTTCAATATCCTCATAGAGTCAAAAGGCCAATTTTGATACGCACCGTGTCAGTACTACTCACTACTGCAAACTTTGAACTTCCAGCACTCAGACAGCTGCAAAATTATGCAAGGAGCTTAAATATAATTATACTCATTAAAAAGTCAAGATGTTAGGGTTTTATTTGCTTTCTGTTCCAAGTCTAAGACTTCTAAGCTTTTTCTCACCACCCATGCAAGGATCACATCTCCTTTAACAAAAGCTGAGATTCTCAGCTATTCATGTAGCCCTAGGAGATAGCTTTTAACAAAACAGAAAAATAGCATGTATCACAATGCCTGAAGGAAATGAGACATGTGAGAAATGCTGTAAATTCCTTGCCAGCTTCAGGATAGCTGCTTTTGATTCCTCTTCCCTTCAGCAACCTTTCATTCCAGCCCCACATATTTATACAACAGCCTGTCGGTCTCTTGCCTTTCAACTCCATGAAGTTAGTACAGGTGAGAACAAACTATTCATATTCAGATCACAAACATAAATATCACTCACCTGATTTCCCCAAAAGTTTTAGGCAGATATCTCAAGTCTGTATTCTGTACAGTGCTAGCACACAGTACATCAGGCTCTGCCCGATTATTAGGCATCTTATTCAAGGAGGCTTRAAGCTAGTCTTAATTAACAAAAGCACTATGAATGGGTTAGATCCTGTCTTACCCCTAGTAATAGGATTACATCTACAAGACCCTCCCATGGGCACAGTGCCTAAAGTGCATCTACTCTTAGGGTGGAAGAAATTTGGGATGGGATGAGGAAAGCAGCCTCCTCCAACACTTATCTGTTAGGGCTTTCTGCTGTGTTCACAGCTTTCCTTCAAAACACAACTTGCAGTTTGATTCTCCACAGCTGGAGCAATAGTTAATTACCACAGATGCCTTTTGGTTCATGCATCCAAATTCACACTCCAGACCYCCCAGGATGGAAAGCTTCTGAGCCTCTGCTGTTGCTGCCAGGACTAGATTATTGCTGGACACAGACCATACATKGTGCTAGTGAAGGGAATGACAGCACAGTTATGCACTCACTCCCCATCGCTTATTCCACCCTTCTTCCTAAAGAGCGCTATAGCCTGGGTCCAAGGGGTCTATCCAGGAGAGAGAGATGGGCACAGGGAAACATCATCATAGCTTGGAGCTGGATTGGGTCACTTGTGCTGAACTTAAGTGAGGTACTAGAATGCACAGGGGTGAAAGATAGGCGTGTTCAAGACCATGAAGGCTCTCAGCAGGGCCCTCAGGGATCTGACATCACTTACRAATTCGAGTTGACCACTCACCGTTTGAAAACCTCCCAGAAGGATTTGGATCTGTCTGCTGATGGAGAGAATGGGGCTCTTGGGGCTCAAGAAATCATSAAAGGCATGTGTCATGGAGCAACATACAGCAATAGAGACACCCTGAGGGGAGCAAAGCAGCATTTGATTGCTTCATGAAGACTGGCAGAWGCAAAGGCCTGAATGAAGGGAAGGAGGGAGACTTTCTTGCACTCCAGTCAGTGAGAAATGCAGCTGAGAACCTCTCCTAGAGGCAGGGTCAGGCTAACCTGACAGTGAGAGCACATGCAGTTACAGTCATAATTCATGCAGTAACAACCAAGCACATGCTGTTCGTTCCAGGCAGGAGATGCCTCTTCAATTTCCAAGCCTTCCTTCAATCTGATGGGAAACAGGTGCTGGGACATATGCAATGGGACAAATGGGTGAAGTCAGCAGATGAAAAGATGACATCCCACTGCAGCCCTGTCTGGGATGGTGGCCCAGTCTTTCCTGAGCAGAAATGAGCTCCCCACTCCAAGGCCCAGAGATTCACACCTTCCCCAGGCAAGAATCACGTTTAGACAGCAGTTAATCCTCTAGCTGGCACAGTGCTTATTGAGCAGTGAGCACTGTGAGCCATGGAGCACTCCTGCTTGCCCATTTCAACACCAAGCCAGGTCCATCATGGAAATGACGTAGACCTCCTCYTGGTAGAGCTTGGGCCTCCATCTGCTCCTCCAAAACACTCAGCATCCTTAAACGCCGTTTCCTACTCCTTGTGCCTCCAACGGAGGGCAATTTCTTGCTTTTCAGGGCATGGGGCCATAGTGATGCATGGGAGTTTCAGCACGGTACAGGTCTTCTCCACATGCATTTTAGCACCTCTCAACATGCCCTTGCCAAGGACCTGTACTGAGGAACTTGCAATGCAGAGAGTAGAACTTAAGTCTGTTAGATCAGATGTGATTCCTAATAAGTCTRTAACATCAACATCAGCTTGTTGGGATGAAAGAGGTAAAAATTTACCTAACATTTAAGGGGAGAGACAGCAATATATGTCTTTCTTGTGAAACTTCCATCACCTCTTCAAGCACCACCTGCAAAGACAAGGGTTGGCAGAGTTTAAAGGAACAAGRAGGAATAAAAATCTCTTGCTGACATGCTTAATACACCAAAAAAGAGACCTCCACAGCCTTCTTTTAGAAAAAAAATCTGTTTCAAGTTAAGATTATCTCATTTTAATGCACACAGAATATTTGACACTCTCTGAACAGGCCAGGCATGAGGAGTTCACACAGTCACTGCTAAAAATGGTGTTTTTTACTGTCAGAAATCTTGAGCCGAGAAACATACATCTGAGCCAAGTAGGATTTTTGACCTGCTTTGTTGTTGGACCACTTCCCACTTAAAGTCTTAGGCCRAGTTTTCCCAGCAGGCCAACCATTTGATTTGGCAAACGCACTAGGGCCAGATCTGCCTTTCAAGTAGTGCTGAGCCATTAAAAGAAAATACACAGCTCCACAATACAACAAAACCATCTGCTCTTGAAAGGCAGTTCAGAGAGACAATAAGTCTTCTAATGTTGGGAAGAACTAGCAAGCTTTTCCTTCCCTTGTAGGCAACATAAGGAAGGCAAAGTCTCAGCAAATAGCCTGTAACATAGACCCTCAAGAATAAACAGAGGTGGGCTGGAAATCTGCCTCTGGACTGGGCCCTCAAACAAYAGGGCCCTAATGGAACTGGAAGAACAAATGTTAATGTTCTGCCATATGAGAATCCTTGAAGAAAGTAAAACATTGCCCTCAACAAACGGACATCTCCAAGTCCTGCTCCTGAGGCAGGGGGACAATGCCTCTCTCAACCTAAAATACCATCTTAGGACCCATGGTTTCCTTGGATGAAGCAAGCAATTGCCTAGGGCTTCCCACTGCCACATCACAGCCCTGGTRCTATCACAGTCCCAGTGTCTGCTTTATCATGCCAGAGTGTAAGTGAAAGGTGACGGTGAAAGTAGTTACGCATTTACTCCCCTTATCCAAGTTGTGCTCCTCTCCATGAACCAAAAATTCGAAACGAGCGAGGATCTACTCAGTCATGATGATGGCAACGAAACTTCCATCAGCTTGGGTGAAAACAGAGTCTGGACAATGGCTCACAGGCACCTGCTCCTCTGGCCCARGAGAGTGAACAAGCTGAGAACATCCTCAGGGAGAGGCGAAGATGAGATCTTGGCCTGTTCTTCACTTCCTCATCATGTTAATGATCCAGCCTGCTTTAACAGGCCTGCTGCGGTTCAGTTTCCCTCAGTATACCAATATTCAGCAGAGGCAACCAGTTCTGCCACAAGATCCTGGCATCCCAAGAGATGCTTCCACCATCATGCCCACTCCGGTGCTGAAAAAGAAAAGACCCTTTTGTGATGGAGGCCCTTTTGTAAAAGATGACATATAAAAGATTGCTGGTGTGCCTTCTCCTTCTGGGATGCAACACTATGTTGTCAGGACCAATGGATTCTCYTGGCCAGAGAATCAGGAGAGCTTGTGAGGAGAGTGCCCCAAAGGGTCTGAACCTTCAGCAGGATCTGAACCCATGTCCTGGGGAGAGACTTCTGCATGCATCACTGTAGCGACAACGTTCACTACAGTTGAGCACTGGGCAGATGCTTCTCCTGGATGTAACCACCGCTCCCAGAGGGATGTTAGCAAGGCAAGCGTTTAGCAATTGCAAGGGAAATAAGCAGCAGCAGGCTCAGCTTGGCGAGATGGTGTTGGGCTGTCCCCTCCCTGGTACAGGCTTAAGCAAACTGTGAGCCCTGTTTAAATAACACAGAAAATGCAGCTGGATCCTCATCCCAGAGGCAAAAAAAAAGACTAAGAAGAGAGTTCTTGTGTCTGACCATTTGATRTATGAGGTTGTCATGGAAACTGCAGCATAATTAAAGCCTCCCTCTCTGCTCTCAAACGCTCCAGTTGTGTAGGAGATGGGCTGCAACTTCAGGGGCTTTCCCATTATGATGGCTACTATTATTAGAGCAAGCCACCACAATTTCCTTTTGAAAATTGGCTGTCTCAGCAGCACGCCCATGTCTCAGCAAAGACGTGGGCTTGCTGAGCTTTTACTGTCTTCAAATAGCACTTTTCATTCATGGCTGATTAGCAGCCACGGCTGTCCCGAGCCTGCCTTTGGCCTGGGTCTCCTGCTGAGCAAAGACAAGGACAACCGCTCGTGACCTCCCAGGACACAGTGCCAAGCCAGAAGAAAACCCTGCCTGTTTGGAGTTCAATGAATATTTAAGAGCCTCATCATGATAGGCAGAGCAAGGCCATATAACCCCACACCACATCCACGTGGATGCTCAGGAATCACGTGCTCTCGGCACTTACAACGTTGAGACCCACAGTGCTGCTCAAACCTAGCAGAGATTTCCCAGCTGCCTATAAAGGTGCAAAATGCTTTGGTTACCTGAAAAACAACAACGCTCCCTTAACACAAAAAGGGCCCCAAAGAGATGCAGTGATGTTGATGGACAACTGATTGCAGCAGAAAATATAGTTGCCAGATGAAGAAGGATGCATTAATCCTACCTCCCCAGCACCCATGGGACAGTGTTGGGAGGCAGCATTGCTTGGCACTAGGGAGAGTAGATGTCAAGGGCAGCTGGGGGTCAACCAGGACCGTGCTACATTCTTCCAGTTCAGCTAGGAAATGGTCAGCTAGCCACCTTCCTAATTGCATGCCCTTGCTTTTTCTGTTCAGCAAAGTCAAATCATGACTATCCTGGTACACAATATAGCTGGGCAGACTTACGCCCACCCATCAGGGTTTTTGATTAGCTGCTGCAGGACTTAATCACCCATACTATCAGGAACATATCCACAGGTGAGAGGTGATGGGCTCTCCCACCTAATTTTCACAACTGCACTCTGAAGTGATGCAGAGATTTACATATAGTCAGTGACACCAGGTGAAGAGTGGACTGGGACAGAATATATAACCAGCTAGAATAATCTACAGTCACACGTAGATATCTCTACTTTGTAATGAGCTCTGCTTGAGTCCATGCAGCCTGGCTCCCTGGCACATAAAAAAAATCTTTTAACTTTTCATACAAAATATTTTTTACTTCTCCTTCCCCTTCCAGATGCAGCTCAAAACACTTTTTTTGTGTCTGTATATGCATGTGCCTCCTAGTGTGGAATGAATCACTGTTTTATCTCTCCATCTCTCACATTCTTTCCACAAATCAAAAAGCTTCCAATATGTTTTAACTTAATAAAATCATATGAATATACTGAAGACTCTCGATAGCAAGGTTTCCTCTGTGTAGCAACCAATAAATTGTGCTGTACACTGTAACAGTGCAGGTTCATTAAACTGTCCCACTTTAATGTTATCTCAGCAGCTGAGATGTAGAAAAGTCTGGGAAAACACATGATASTAACACATGATACTTCTAGGGAAAAATACTTGTCTTTTTCAATAGGCATTAAAGCTTGACTGCCTAGGAATGAGTCATCTCAAAATCAAAGTTGGTGCATTTAGCTTAAGAAAAGGTAAGAAAGAGCAATATTATGGCTTTGGACAATGGAAAAGAGTCTCAGGACATCTCTTACGTCCAGCTSAGAAGAGTATCCAAACATGGGTGCTCATAAGATGGGGGGACAGAGACAGGAAAGAGCAGACCCAGGGTTCGATCTCCATGGATGAAAGCGTGCTCAGCAGGGCTAACCTTGTAGAGTCTCTTGCCTGTGCAAAGGCTTTCTCCACCACTGCCCATTCCTCCCCCAGTGTCCATACTTGCTGATGACAGCCCTACAGGCAAAGCCCCAAACATTTTTCAGAGAAAAGTGTCTTTCAGAGAATAGCYGCCCACATCTATGCTGAACACTTGAATAATGCAATAAAAGCTTGGAGGGTAGGAATACAAGTATCCTGACATACATGGCAAGGCCCACCAGCAGCACAACTGAGAAGGATATTTTTCACAGTAGACAGAAAAAGGCTGAAGAGAAAGAGTGATAGGAGACAAAATAACAAGGAGAGGGGAGTGGAGGATCAGACATGGGCTTGCTTCCCCAGGACAGGGAAAGGTGAAGAGAGAGAGCAGAACAAGGCTGGGGAATTACTTCTTATACCTTAAAGTCCATAACAGGCTGGTCCAGGGAAAGAAAAGAATTACTATCACATTTCAATGCGAAATGAACCCTGGCCCCCAGCCCTCTGACTCTGTGTGTCTTCTAGCTGCTACTTACTATTAGGAGGAGTTCACAGTGATGGAGAGTAGCATCCCAGAGACATGGACTGACTTTCAAGCTGGTGGGTAAGATGAGACCATTAGGCACATGCAGTATAAGCCCTCTGAAGGGCTGCTGATGAGCTCTGATGGGGCGCAGTTGGGTTTTGGCTGATGAGCTCTGATGGGGCGCAGTTGGTATTTCCCTGGAGAACATTGTGCTCAGCTGTAATACATCTCCAGCAAATGGAGAGGGCTCTTGGGTTGCGCCTCTTCTCTAATGGATAACTTGCATCTCTACAAAACACTATGTACTGCTATGACTATAAATAAGAAAAAAAGGCAGCTAAAACCCTGCTTCTATGTCATTATATAATGATTTGTTTTACAGCCCAATTTCCTGTAGCAGGTGCAGCTAACATCAGGCTAGCATCACTCATGTGAAAAAGACAGTAAAAAGTGCATTATAGGGTTGCACCCTCAAGTGTTTAAATTTTAAACTGTGCTGTGTGGGGGATAAAGTTTGCTTTAAATACACTTATTCTGAGAGATTTTAGGTGGCTCCTCAACACACTGCACTAGATGTGCTAGAGCATAGAAGGAATACTGGGTCTGYACAACATGTAGCCTCCATCTCTCCCAAGGCTACATTAACCCTGCTTCTTCCTCAAATACCCTAGCCCTTGTCCCACTCATGGAGTCTACAGTGTGTTATGCCAAAGACCTGGAGGTCAGAGAACCCTTGGTCATGAGCCTTACCTGGGCCTGGCACTACCATGGTCTCTAGTGAACCAGGAGTTGGCAAGAAGAAGACTAGGGCAAAGTACCCCTAGGACAAAAGTAGGCTGGACAAAAAGATCTACAGACTGCAAGATTCCAAGAGCTGGAGCTTTAGGTTTTAATACTGTGAGATTCACAATAAAATCACACGAGCTGTCACCTCTACAGGTCTGGGAGCCCAATCCTTTATGCTGAGCACCAATATGTGCATGAGGATGATCCAGACTTTTCTTTCTATACATCCCCAGCTGCCTAGGAGGTTCAAACACATAACAAGTGGTGTTTTCCTCTTACCTTTCCCCTCCAGTAGACGAGGTGGCTCCTCAGCCACACTGGTGCAATTCCTCGTGAAAGGACATGGTGGATGTCTCAATTCCTTGGGTAAAAAAGGAGGATAGGAGATTGCTCAGGGAATGTATCATACATCCTTCACATAATCTTCCTTGTACATCACGATGCTTTTCAGTCACTAGGTACTGGCACACCCACCAAAASAGTTAAAGTCCTTCAAAATCTCTGTTCTATAAAGATACGCTGGCAAACACAGTGGTGTCCTGAATCGCAGGGCGTTCGGCTAGAGACAAATACACAAGTGGAGCCTCTCTGGTGCAAAGCTGCCATTAGATGTCCCCAGGTAGGTGTTTACAGAGAAGAGATTAAAAATACCCAGCACAGTTGCAAAAACACGTCAAGAAACCTTTTCAGGAAAAGCATGTCAGGGCGCTGGACTATTAATTGAGCCCTTTAGGTAGCTCAGTGCCTCTCTACGGATGTGCTTGTCCCACCATGAGGGAGAGCAGTGCAAGGCGAGCTGTGCAAAATGGCTTTTGGCACCCTGGGAAAGTGAGATGAGAAAACAGCAGTCACATCTATTTACTGTCACCCTCTCCTGTTATGTGTATATAACATTTTGCCCCTCAAAGAAATCCAAGTTTCACAAATAATCTCTTTTCCCGGGGTTTAGAATCTACAGAAGAATATAAAGAGACACTACAGCAGT